CCCGGAGGGGGAGGCGCTGCATCCGACTCACCTGCCCATTCACCGAGCCTCGGGCCGACCCCCGCCTCGTTACCCACACCCCACAGCCGGAAGGCCGTGAAGAGAAAGTACGAGACGCGCAGGGCCAGGTAAGCCACGGTGCCCGCGCCCACCCAGTACAGGAAGCCTGCTGCTGGGAGCGCGCTCTCCATGGCTTCCGACTAGGCCTCACTAGCTCCGTAAATGAAAAAAAAAAAAAAAGAATAAATGAATGAAGCCAGGAGGAGGCGCCGAACGGTGACGGGAAGGATGACACTCACAGACTCCGTGCCTGGAGTACTTTGCACCTAAGCCCCGCCCACGGCGCCATCCGCGCCGCCAATGGTGATTTACCTTTCCGTCTACGCGTACTGCGTTGTCCATTGGCTAACTCCTATTTCATCGCCCCGCCCACTCCCTCCGCCCTTGCGCTCGTACGAGGGACGCTTCCGCTCTGAGGCGGGCGATCGCTCACCTGCCAATCAAGCTTCAATTCGGCCCAATCGCGTCGCCCTCCTCCGGACGGCGCTCCCCCGCAGCAAGTTTCACCCCACCAAAGTGTCCGGGTCTCTCATTGGCTCCGGCGGTTCTTACGACTGTGGAAAGCTGTGCTCCGATTGACCAGTCAGATCCACTTGTTTTGTCTCAGGTTTAAAGAGGCAATGGGATCCACGAAACCGCCAAAAATTGAGACATTTGTAGTGGGAGTGGAGCCTTGTGTTTATTTTCACCTCTGTGTTAGTGTGCCGTCATCGCGAATCTGCCTTAAAGAACTAAGACAGTTTTCTTTTGCATTTCCGCCCCTCCCCATCCCGTTTTTTGTCGGGGAGAGTTTCAAGTAGAGGAATATTACAAGTTTGCAGTAGAGGAATGGGAGATGCCTCAGGCAAATTCCGGAGAAAACGACTTCAAAGTAAGTTTAAATAATATGCAAAGCAAAGAAGGGCTTCACACAAATTCTATTCCCCCCAAGAACTTCTATTCTCTTATCTGGCTTGGATTTGGACTCGCGGAAGGTACCTAAAATTTATTCAGGCACTCTGATTGAAGACCCAAGAGCTTTTGGGTCAAACAGTTCAGCTTATCTTGAAGCTAAATTCACAGTTTATAATATTTACCCTGATCCTTATCCCTTTCTGTCCATCCCCCCCCTTTTTCTCCTCTTACTATAGACAGCTGAATTAGGTAGAAATATTATAGGCAGTCAGACAGGGATAGGCCCTCAAGAGGGTTAGAACAAAGGTGAAACACACCACAGCCGTGACTGCAGTTGTATCAGTTGGAAACCGGATCTCCAGATAAACACAAGATGACCAGACCTGCACACTTCCTCAGAGAACAAACACTGGGCCTAATGAAGCCTAGACAGGCATCAGCCACCCCGGTGGGTGACCAGAGGCCTCTGGACCCACCACTCCCCAGGAGAATCTTTGCTCTTTTCATCCACGCTTGTCACGTGACTTGTTTCCCACCTGGACCACCATTACCTGAATCAATATAATTGTAACCTTATTGGGTGTTCACGGCTGTGGCCCACGTCCCCACCTAGGTTTCATCCTATAAAACTCCCCTCTAGAGTGGGGTCTTGGCTACCCATTTGAGACTCCTCCTGCCCCTCAGGAACTTTGCTATCAATAAACATCTCCCTACTCTCAAAGTCCATTGTTCCTAGAATTCATTCTTCAATTTTAAGAGAGAAAGAGCTGGGGTATATCAAACAGCTGACAGGTTGGGAGACTATTTGGTATTTCATCCTCCAGTATTATTTACGGTATCACTCTCTTATCAAGAAGAACTTGACATAATCATAAGGCTTGCAGTGTACTTTCTAAACTGTGGAGTGTGTTGCAGAATTGAGCCACGAATAGAGCTTACACCATATTGTAACTGAATTTGATGCTTCTGGCTGAGGCTGCCTCCACAGTTCAGCCAAAGTCTCACCACTCCTTCCCCTCAGCTTTTCCCTCAGTGGGCTCAGATCCCATCTCTCTTTATTCCTTTACAGTTCTCTTACGTCATTTTAAATACCAACTGTTAGCTTACGGCTGATGTCTTCCAAATGTCTTCATCAGGCTCTTCTTCCGCTTGGAAGTCCAGGTGCCGATCCTCAGCTCCACTCAGATTTAAAACAAACAAACACCTTGCATCTCAGTTTAGCGTATTCAAAAACAGAGCTCCATTCCCTCTCCCTCTCTCTCCCTCCCTCCCGGAATCTCCCTTTTTTCTTTCCCACCACCTTACCTCCTTCCTAAGACTCAAAACGCAGAGGTCAGTTTGGATTCTTTTCTACTGCGTTTCCTCACCCAATTCTTTAGCAAGTCTGATTAGTGCATCTTCAAATTATACCCCAACTTACCACCCCTCCCCATCTCAACTTCTACCAGCTAAGCCAAATCACAAACATTTCTCCCTGGACTATGGCATCAGCCTCCTAAGGAGTCTCTCTGAAGCTGCCCTGGCAGACAGGTATTATTGATGCAGGAATTTTTTTTTTTTTAACTAAGTAAAGGACACGTGCTGTGGAAATGGTCTTTCCATTGCTGCCAGAATTCATTTTAAATGTAATTACTACAAGGAATACCCAAGACTGAAAGTCTTTTTTTTTTTTTGAGACAGGGTCTCACTATGTACTTGAGACTGACCTGGAACTCACTATGTAGCCCAGGCTGGTCTCAAACTCACAGAGATCCTCTTGCCTCAGCCTTCCAAGTGCTGGGATCACAGGCATGTGCCCAGCTTGAAAGTGTCTCATTTTTGGCTCCAGTGTTTTTCTACAAAATCCACCCATGCAATTTACAAGGATAATCTTTATTAAGCCAGTTGTGGTGGCTCTAGCCTGTAATCTCAGCACTTGGGCAGCGGAGGCAGGAGGATCCCCATGAATTCAAGGCAAGCCTGGGCTACATAGTGAGACCCTGTTTCAGAAAATGTATATATTTGGGGACTGGGGGTGTAGTTCATTGGCAAAACATGTGCTTAGCATCCCCAGAACCACACACAAAAAAATCATGTTTGCTTCTATTACCTCATCTTTTTAGGATATTGTTTTATCTACTAAAAGAAAAAATAGCGGCTTCCACAGAGTTAAGTAGTATGTGCCACATAAAACCTTTAGAGTTCAGGCTGGAATTAACAATCCTTTGTCTCTGGATTAAATTTTATGAACTACTGAAAATTTAAATGCATACAAGATCTTGTAATGATGGCTCACTCCTTCTATTCATCAGTATTCTGTACTAAAATTTAACATATAGACAAGGGGTAGACAAACGTGACATCATTTACAGCTCTCCAGAGAGGAAGCAATTCTATCAAATTGTGAGCTTTGGTGTCAGGTAATCTAGAACAAGATCCTGTTTCCACCCACTGTTAGTTGTATGATCTTATGTAGACTTAACTACTAGGCATTCAAAATCTATACGTGTGAAATGAGAAACTATTTAAGCATTTAGCAGGATTGCCAGTCATTGTATATGGTATTCAATGAGGTAAGTAGTCCCGTTTTACAAATAAGCAAACTGAGGCTTAAAATAGTTAAGTAACTTTCCTGTGGACAGAGAGAGAGAGAGAGAGCGCGCTATGAAATCCTCTCTCCAGAGCTAGCTCAGAGAAGGTAGCATAAAAAGTGGCTAAAGGAGAGTAGAAGAGTCTCTAGAAATATGCAGCAGTTATACAAATACATACTGAGACACACCCACTTTTGATGTCAGTATCATTTATTTAAAAGATTTAGAGTTCAGAACGGTCTTTAACATGGAAAAATGTGAAACAATGACATCACATCGTATTAGTATACAAATATTCCCATTTAATTTGAAATTCATTTTCAGTATTTCAGCAAATTGTGTTTCAGAGCAGATTTTCATGATGAAATCAAGAGTAGTTCAATATAAAAAAAATTCTGTAATTAGAGAATTTCATAGAAACCAATAATTTTTAAGAATACCATCTTGGTTACTCCTTTGGGACAAGAGCTGAATCCTTTATTTTATTGTATAATAAAACTTGATCCTGGGGACTTAGCTCAGTGGTTCTGCCACCTGCCTCACCAGTGCAAGGACCCGAGTTCGATCCCCGGTACCAAAAAAAAAAGTGAAAAATTTAAACAGTTCTGAGGTCTTCTGTCTCGTCTTCAATTAAACGCAGTTTCAAATATTGATTTAACTTGACTTTAAATTCAGATGTCCAATCCTAGATTTAAAAAAAAGCAAGTGCTATGGTGAAAACCAATTTAAAAGAAACATAAACTTCAGCAATGGAAATTAGGAGGTTTGCAGAAAGTTAATATGTGGCTTCTTTAACAAACAACGTTACCATAAGAAAAGAATTCTGGCATCTATGATTCAATATTGCATTATAATTTTCAAAGTGATTTCCATACATTGTTCCCATTCAAACATTACAGTAACAATCCTATTTTTCAAACAAGAAACTAGCTCTTCAAGTTGAATTAATTTTTCTTGTTAGGACCTCTACAGTATAATGGGCCTAGTTCTAGAAACAAATCCTCTTGAACTTAGAACTCCAGGGCTCTTTTCACCTTCCACCTACTTAGTCACAGAACTTAGGCTCACATTCCATGGAGATTTCTCTAACATACTGCACAAACTAAACTAAAATCAGTTATTTTGAAACAATTAAAAATATTTTTAATATCTCCCTTATTTTTTGTTTCAAGGGCTCACGGAAGTCCATAAAATGAAAACATATGCCATCTTGTTTCTTATGCCCACTAGTTGTGGTTAGCATTTCTTCCACGTAGGTATCCAGCTGTCTGATATATGCCACATTACATCCACATATCTTTTAAAAGTAAAGATTTTATAACCCACAACTTCTTTCTTCACTCAATAATATACCATTAAGAAAACATAAGGAGGGCTAAGAATGAAGCTCAGGGGTAGAGAACTTGCCTATTGCGCTTGAGGCCCTGAGGTCAATCCCCAGCACCACACACATACATATAAAGTATTTAAATAAACAAATTAAAATATCACAGTGAAATCCTGACTTATCAACTGATACAATCCCTGACGTATCACTCTTGACACAATAACTAGCTTTATTGCATCAGGAGATCTAACAATCACTCCAACAGTCTTAGCCAGGAGACACTGTTCACTTTAAGAAAACACACACACACACACACACACACACACACACACACACACACACACACACATTTTGTGCCATGGTAAACAGTTCAGTTTAACACGAGGTGAAAGGGGAAGTAAAACCATGATATTGTATCAATTGCCAGACCTAAATAAATAAGCCGCAAAACGTTAGGCTAGTTGTATAAGCA